TAATCTCTATGAGGAAAGTTCAGTGTCTGCATGCAGAGGGAGGAGATACTAAATGTTTGGATGCATTTTAGGCAGCCATGACCCAGGAAGGATCTCTAACAGCTATCTGAGGAGTTGCCAGTGTAGTTATCACTAGGCTGTAATGTAAACACTGCATTTTCTCTGAAAAGACAGTGTTTACAGCAAAAAGCCTGAATGGAATGGTTCTACTCACCAGAACAAATTCAATAAGCTGTAATTGTTCTGGTGACTATAGTGTCCCTTTAAATTTGTTAAATCCAGTTGAATTGATATCTAAGATTGAGTATGATTCTAGACTACTCATTCTCCATACAAATCATGTCCCCATTTATGTGTCATCCTGCTTTTACACAAATTCATTTATCTTATTTCCTTCAGGTGACATTTTGTTGAAGCCAATAATTGAGGCGGCTGGGAAGGACATTAGTCACTGGTTTAATCCCAAAACTGGAGATGTGAGTGACAGTAAGATGATCTAACCATGGGGTGCATTCTCTAAATTGGGAATTGTTTAAGATTGACGATTGAATTACATAGTTTAGTGGAAAATAGTGGTCGTAAAACTAGCTAATTGGGAGACTATTTCTAAAGTTTAAAGTAAAATTTCCAATTTTCTAAAATTCCCAGTTTAGTGCATACCCATACCTATTCTCTTTTTACACATATTTTATCCTTGTCAATCCATTCATCTCATTCTGCCTACACCTTTTCTGTATCTTCTACAATTTGACATTTTTGGAGATTACAGCTGATGCATAACCAACAGTATTGCTGTTTTTATGACACTTTTTGTTTTGTATAATTACTCTCAATGCTGTGTGATTCAATAATACTTGTGCGCCCCCTACTGATTGCTGATATAATTCCAGTTTACAATTTTTGGACCATTGGTTGTCATCTGATTATTACAATTTTTTTTTAATATAATCTTGCTGTGACAGAAAAATTAAACCATGAAGACCCTGGGCAGATCAGTGTGAATACAGTAAAAATTGGTCTTTGATAAATATGTGAATCCTATACTTTTATCTGAGAATCTGCCAATTACACTGAGAATTTGGCTGTCACCTTAAGAAATTGTCCCACTTAATCTCACAATTTTCCCACCCATTCTGACTTCCAGAGAGCATCAATCCACCCGATTTTACCTGAAATATTTTAAATTAACCTAATATTCATCACATGTAGCACGATAACCTGCCAATTTATTCTTCTTTAGGTGATAGCTTTAGGACACTTTAATTTCACGTGTACTGGCAAAATCCTAACACTTTGCTCTGTAATCTGGTCTGCAGGTAAAGACATGCATAGATCCCCAGACCGGATGCTTGAAATATTACACACCCCAGGGCCGTCTCCTCCACGTTTCCCCCTCGTTTCCATCTTCAGACTGGGAAACAAGCTTTGGACGTCCCTGGTGGAAGGATCCTTCCTACGAAATTGGTATCCTGTCTTCTAAAACTAGGTTCATCCGTGTAATTAATACACTGACATCTCAGGAGCACAAGCTGGAGGTGAGAAGGTGCAGAATTCACTGGGCACACAAGAGGAGGCACATGATCTCCCAGAACAGGGTTTTAAATTTTCAAGTCCAATGCAGTTACCAAGGTCTAAAAGGTATTTGCAACTGTAAGCCTGGAGCATCTTTGACACACTCACCACGTGTGAATTGTTACTTGGCTCAGCTGAAATTTCACTCACTGATAGCTATTGGGCAAGTGGAAATCTTTAGCCCTGTCCAAGAATATAATCACAAATCACTAATCAAAGCAACCATAATCTACAGCCGGTTAATTGCACCTTTTTCTGTAATCAGCATAAGAACTCAAATAAACAAGCATAATTTAAGTCTTTAAAGGACCACTCTAGGCACCAAGACCACTTCAGCTTAATGAAGTGGTCTGGGTGCCAGGTCCAGCTAGGGTTAACCCATTTTTTCATAAACATAGCAGTTTCAGAGAAACTCCTATGTTTATGAATGGGTTAAGCCTTCCCCTATTTCCTCTAGCGGCTGTCTCATTGACAGCCGCTAGAGGCGCTTGCGTGCTTCTCACTGTGATTTTCACAGTGAGAGCACGTCAGCGTCCATAGGAAAGCATTTTGAATGCTTTCCTATGTGACCGGCTGAATGCGCGCGCAGCTCTTGCCGCGTGTGCGCATTCAGCCGACGGGGAGGAGAAGAGGAGGATCGGAGGAGGAGAGCTCTCCGCCCACCCTTGAAAAAGGTAAGTTTTTACCCCTTTCCCCCTTCCAGAGCTGGGCGGGAGGGGGACCCTGAGGGTGGGGGCACCCTCAGGACACTAAAGTGGTCCTTTAATTAAGTGACTCTGTAAGTTTCTGCATTGTCTGCATGTATTACTCATCACAATGCTACAGAAATTCACAGAAGGCAACATATATCTAAAGAGGTTGCATTGGTATGACTCTATGCCACCTCATTCAACATGACACAGACAGGAGGAACTACGAGTCTGTCCCTCCCCCTGCAGGGTGACAGAGACAGAAGGAGCTATGAGTCTGTCCCTCCCCCTGCAGGGAGACACAGTGACAGACAGAAGGAGGTATGAGTCTGTCCCTCCCACAGCAGGGTGACACAGACAGAAGGAGCTATGAGTCTGTCCCTTCCCCTACAGCGTGACAGAGACAGAAGGAGCTATGAGTCTGTCCCTCCCCCTGCAGGGAGACACAGTGACAGACAGAAGGAGCTATGAGTCTGTCCCTCCCACAGCAGGGTGACACAGACAGAAGGAGCTATGAGTCTGTCCCTCCCCCAGCAGGGTGACACAGTGACAAAGACAGATGGAGCTATGAGTCTGTCCCTCCTCCAGCAGGGTGACACAGTGAGAAGGAGCTCATTCCCCAGAGAAAGCAAAAACATGATTTGTTCTGATTGTTGCTGTTTCTCTGACAGGTATGTTCAGAAGAGAACATGTGGGAGATCCTGCACCGATATCTGCCCTATAACGCCCACGCTGCAAGTTACACCTGGAAATTTTGCGGAGTTCCATTAGACATGGATAAATCTCTGCAGGAAAATGGAGTGCAGGATGAAGATGAGGAGTTCGACCAGCTCAAAATCGATACTGACCTCTTTACACCCAGCATACATTTATACTTTAACGATGATCTGACTGAATTTTAGATGAGAGGAAGATAGGTGGGGGAAAGGGCCAAAATAAAAAAAAAAGCCAAAACCTTTACCCTGGCCATGCTTAATGCTGCAATTATATATAGTGCCAATAGTACGTAGCATCTTCAGGTCCTATTAATAGGGGTCGTCAATACTAGGTGCAGGAATATAATACATATACAGGTTACATGCTATACATGACAGTTCCATAATGTTTATTGTAGTCTAGATTGTGCCAATTTTTCTGTGTATTTTAATATGTGTATATAAATATCATACAGACAGCCAGCGCACCCCATAATATGAACGGTCTCGATATTATCACTACTCAACAGAAAAGGTATGAAACTATGCCAAAATAAACTATTTTACAGACTCATAACCTAATTCATTGTAATTCTTGTATGTATGTATACATGTGTGTGTCAGGGTATTACTTTGTTTTATATAGATATCTCTTATGGTTTCTTCCATATTTGTGTACAAAAGGATAGATCAACGTTTCAGTCCGAAGACTTTTATCAAGATACCATATACATACAAAACACCCTCCTTAAACAAGGTAGTTCAATAAATAAAATAAAAGCATTGTGACAAACCCCCCCCTTTAAGGGAGTTTGCCATGAGTTTTTGGAGGGGCCTGTTTGCCAGCCTCCTACCCTGGGACTATAGACCCATGCTCAAAAGTACTGTTCCTGCTTACACTCCAAAACTATGTGTCATCCTGTTATTGGAGGGAAAGAAGATTTGCTCCTGTGTCTGCTGTTCCAGCTTGCAGGAGATTCAACGGGGAAAGTCCTTGTAAGGACTAGAGCTAATTCCCCATTAGCTAATTCCAGAGTTCCCAGGACTGAGTGTCCTCCAGTGCCAGGAGGTGTCAGAGCTCCAGGAAGGAGCGGTTCCAGGGCCCCAGTCAAGCTACTGCGACTTAGGGCAAGAAGTGCTGCAGTTTGTCCCCTGTTCCTGCTACGCTCTCAGGACTGGAGGTCTGGAAGCTGGATCCTGGTCTTGGGTCCAGGGTGGGTAGAGGACAGCAAGACCCCAACCAAGCTACGGCAGTTTGTGGGGGTCTACAGTGGTTATGGTGTTCCAGTGCAGTGATTATGGTACTCGCAAATACTAGGAAGCAGCGACAGACTGAGTTACCCTGTCGGGGTGCCAGGCAGTCCATTACATTGGTGGCAGAAGTGGGATTGCTTCCTAACCTTGGGAAAACCAGCACTACTTCAGAGATGGAAGGCCGTGCAGTATCCCACTTTGACGCCAGGCTCCAGCAGTGACTACAGGATGTGCTGCGCAATATGGAGTATCCTATCCCAGAGGAAAGAGAGACAGAGTGGAGGGTGGCGCTTCAAACCATAGAAACATAGAATGTGACGGCAGATTAGAACCATTCGGCCTATCTAGTCTGCCCAATTTTCCAAATACTTTAATTAGTCCCTAGTCTTATCTTATAGTTAGGATAGCCTTATGCCTATCCCACGCATGCTTAAACTCCTTTACTGTGTTAACCTCTACCACTTCAGCTGGAAGGCTATTCCATGCATCCACTACCCTCTCAGTAAAGTAATACTTCCTGATATTATTTTTAAACCTTTGTCCCTCTAATTTAAGACTATGTCCTCTTGTTGTGGTAGTTTTTCTTCTTTTAACTATAGTCTCCTCCTTTACTGTGTTGATTCCCTTTATATATTTAAATGTTTAAAACCAATCTCTGGAAGGAGGACATTGACGAAATTAGACCCTTCCAGTGTGAGGAAATCCTGACCACCAACCAGCGCCAAGCAGAACAGCTAGAGCTGCGGATGCCGTTATTGGGAAACCAACCCTCAGAGGAATGGGTAAGCGAACTGGAGATAATGGAAATGCAACCAGATCTGACTTTTCTGGCTATCCTGGAGTGGGAGCTCGAGCAAGACTATGCTCGCCTATTTAACCGAGTAACACCGCCTGTCTCTGACATGATGGGGTTTATTGACTGTACACCACCGGGAGTGTTGAGTTTCGTCCCTCCTCCCCAGCAACTAAGCCTGTCATCAGGAGACCTGGGTATTGTACCACCTACTTCCCAACCAGCCCCAGAAATAAGAGACCTTACCGACTGGTCCTGGGAAGACCCCCAGTTGGCAGGTGGAGACGGGACCGAGGTCTCTCCACCGGCCCTACAGGGATGCTGGGCAGCCAGCCCAGATCTCCAACTCCAGATGGAGGTTTTGCAGGAAGTGGAGACAACCGGTCTCACTCCCCAGCCGCAGTGTGTATTCCAGGGAGAGTAGTGTATTACAGGAAGTGGAGACAGCCAGTCTCACTCCCCAGCGGCAGTGTATACTACAGGGAGTGGAGACAATCGGTCTCACTCCCCTGCAGAGTGTGTTACAGGGAGGGAAGCCTGTCGGTCTCTCTCCCAAGCGGTAGTGTATGTTACAGGGAGGGGAGACAACCGTTCTCTCTCCCCAGCGGCAGAGTACATAACAATGAGGGGAGACGGTCGGTCTCACTCCCCAGCGGCACCATATGTTATTGGGAGAAGAGACAGTCAGTCTCTCTTCCCAGTGGCCGAGTGCATTACAGGGAGGGGAGACAGCCGGTCTCACTCCCCAGCGGCAGAATGTGTTATTTGGGAGAAGAGACCGTCTCCACTCCCTGTAACCCACATTGCTGCTGGGGAGAGAGACCAACCGTCTCCTCTCCCAATAATACACTATGCCGCTGGGGAGTGAGACTGACCGTCTCCCCTTCCTGTAACGCACTCTGCCACTGGGGAGGAAGACCGCCTGTCTCTTCTCCCCAGTGGCAGAGTGCGTTACAGGAAGGGGAGACGGTCAGTCTCACTCTCCAGCGGCATAGTGTATTATTGGGAGAGGAGACGGTTGGTCTCTCTCCCCAGCAGCAATGTGGGTTACAGGGAGTGGAGACGGTCGGGCTCACCCCTCAGCAGCTGGGGCTATCGTCCAGAGACAAGCCCCTTAGCATGGATGGGGCAGATGGGACCGAGGTCTCTGCACCACCCCTACAGGGATCCTGGGCAGCCTACCCAGATCCCCAACTATCCATTCTTAACCAGGGCCCAAGTGCAGAAAAGGGACCTACGGCCTCTACTGAGCTCCTCCCAGCAGAAGAGCTGGCATCTGGGCAGAGTTCAGCTGGCCACTGCCCTACCTGCCCCTTGGTTCTGGGGCCTAACGACCCATCAACCAACCCAGCTGAACCGTTGGCTACGTGGCAGAGAGCCGCTGGCTTCTGCCCACTAGGCACGGAGGAGGGAGACTGCACCCGCCGTCCCCAGCAACAACTTTGTCCAACCAGGGGGGAGGGCATCCAGGTTGTTTCCCCGCAGGACACTGGATCTACAACTGGGCCCTTGTGGAAAGAGGCTGTGAAGGAATACTGATCCCTGTTTGGCTACTTGCACTCCCTGCTATTAACTTTCCCCAGTTATTTGTTTCTTTTTTTAAATGCCATTCGTTAACTTGTTCGTTTTACTGAACGGAGACCACCCCTGGGACTAATAAGAACGTGGAACACTATGTATCCATACAAAAACCGCAGACTAATTGAATGCTCCTAGGTGGCTATATGGAACTCCGCTACGTTCTATTTCCCAGCACTTTAGACAAAAAGCGTTCGGGAGTTTGAAACAGACAAACACAAGGAGCATTCTGCACGAACCATCTCTATTCTACCTATTGCGGTTTTTTGTATGAATCTCCATGAACGGAGACCGGCTCTTGCTACAAATCCTCTGGAACTGTCTCTCGGCTTCAACCTCGTGGCAGACGGTCAACTCTCTTCACGGTGCCATTCGGGAACTACCGAATGGATTTGGCTGAAATTTGAATATGTGACTTTGGTGGGGTTTTTTTATGTAGTTTTGGGGTATTTCTGAAAATCTTGAAAAATTTAACTTTTTCTGACCAGCAGATAATTGAGTTTAGTATGTTCTCAAAACTCAATTATCTCGCTGGCTCAGAGGAGGAGTTATGCACTGTAAATTGGATGCCTGTTTTCCCACTAAACCAGTCTTGTCCCAGCATTAAGCTTTGGCTCATGTGTGGGTTATTATGCGACACCAGCAATATTGAAACCTATGGATTATTGGCGTTATTGTTTTATGGGTGGGTGGGTGGAGGACAGCGAGAGTTTTTCTCATATTTTATGAGCACTGGGCACTGGTGTTTAGAGCACCATGTTTTGCACTAGCTTTATGGGATTTGTTTAAAATTTCTTTGTTGTTTATGTTTACTTTATTTTTCACTTATCTTATCTCTGCTCCTATGCCTATCTAGTCAGTTTACCAGGGAGAGAGGATTTTTAACTGAACATTGTCAGTTTTCTAGAAACTGACCCTTCAGCTCATTATCTTCCCTCTCTGTGTTCTAAATTTAACCTCTTCCTGTCTGGAATTATTTTTATTTCTAGAAGATGAATTAAGGTTTGATAGAGCCTGTGCTTTAAACTTATATTGCCCCCCTGTTCTAGATAGAGGTGGCTTTTCAAATCTCAATATTAACACAGTACTCACTATATGGATAATAGACAGGAATAAGTAGTGACTACCCAGAGACAGCCTTGAATTAGGTCTTTACCACTATACTGGACCCATCCCTATTTAGCATTTTCTTTAATAAAGCTGTAATTTAGATTGGGGTGTTTACCAGTACTAATGAATTCTATATGATTTACCTACTGGACTTTGTACTCTGGTTGGCATATGAGCATTAGTCTCACTTGCATAGTACTTTGTATTATTTATTTATTATTTTTTGTATTTATCACTTTCTATATCTGGTCTCCAGTAGTCTTTATATCATCAGCCAGTTTATTAGTATGACTACATAGCTATATATAGATTTCCAGGTGATGCAGCGGGTCTCAGGGGTGTTTATGCACTGAGAACTAGCAGCATCTGTTCTTTTTGTTGTTGCATTTGTTATATTGGGGTTAAGCCCCTCTAGAGACTCCTGGAGTCTCTTTGCGGTACACAAGACTGTGGGTTGGACCCCGACACTAACCCCCTCTTTCTAGGAGAGAATGTATGGGTATATACCCAGGCTCTTGTAATTTCTTTGTTCTTTTTGCCCAATTTTCTAAAATACTTTCATTAGTCTCTTATATCTAAGATAGCCTTATGCCTATCCCACGCATGCTTAAACTCCTTCTCTGTATTAACCTCTACCACTTCAGCTGGAAAGCTATTCCATGCATCCACTACCCTCTCAGTAAAGTAATACTTCCTGATATCATTTTTAAACCTTTGCCCCTCTAATTTAAGACTATGTCCTCTTGTTGTGGTAGTTTTTCTTCTTTTAAATATAGTCTCCTCCTTTACTGTGTTGATTCCTTTATATATTTAAATGTTTCTATCATATCCCCCCTGTCTCGTCTTTCCTCCAAGCTATACATGTTAAGATCCTTTAACCTTTCCTGGTAAGTTTTATCCTACAATCCATGAATCAGTTTAGTAGCCCTTCTCTGAACCCTCTCTAAGGTATCAATATCCTTCTGAAGATACGGGCTCCAGTACTGCGTACAATACTCCAAGTGAGGTCTCACCAGTGTTCTGTACAATGGACTGAGCACTTCCCTCTTTCTACTGCTAATACCTCTCCCTATACAACCAAGCATTCTGCTAGCATTTCCTGCTGCTCTAGTACATTGTCTGCCTACCTTTAAGTCATCAGAAATAATCACCCCTAAATCCCTTTCCTCAGATGTTGAGATTAGGACTCTATCAAATATTCTGTACTCTGCCCTTGGGTTTTTACGTCCAAGATGCATTATCTTGCACTTATCCACATTAAATGTCAGTTGCCACAATTCTGACCATTTTTCTAGTTTACCTAAATCATTTGCCATTTGGCTTATCCCTCCTGGAACATCAACCCTGTTACATATCTTAGTATCATCAGCAAAAAGACATACCTTACCATCAAGACCTTCTGCAATATCACTAATAAAAATATTAAAGAGAATGGGTCCAAGTACAGAACCCTGAGGTACCCCACTGGTGACAAGTCCAAGCTTCGAATATACTCCATTGACTACAACCCTCTGTTGCCTATCACTCAGCCACCGCCTTACCCATTATACAATATTGGAATCCAAACTTAAAGATTGCAGTTTATTGATAAGCCTTCTATGTGCAACAGTGTCAAAAGCCTTACTGAAATCTAGGTAAGCAAAGTTTACTGCACCACCCTGATCTATAGTTTTAGTTACCCAATCAAAAAAAACAATAAGATTAGTTTGGCATGATCTCCCTGAAGTAAACCCATGTTGTCTCTGATCTTGAAATCCATGTATTTTTAGATGTTCAACAATCCTATCCTTTAACATGGTTTCCATTACTTTTCCCACTACTGATGTGAGGCTTACTGGCCTATAGTTGCCCGACTCCTCCCTACTACACTTTTTGTGAATGGGAACAGCATTCGCTAACTTCCAATCTTCTGGGACTACTCCTGTTAACAATAATTGGTTACATAAATCTGTTAATGGTTTTGCTAGTACACCACAAAGCTCTTTTCATAACTTAGGGTGTATTCCATCAGGTCCCATTGACTTATTTGTCTTTACTTTTGACAGTTGAAATAGAACCTCCTCCTCTGTAAACTCACATGTAATAAATGACTTATTTGTCCTTTTTCCTAGCTGAGGTCCCTTTATTTCATTATCCAATGTAAATACTGAACAAAAATATTCATTGAGGCAGTCAGCTAGACCTTTATCCTCATCTACATACCTTCCTTCTTTTGTTTTTAATCTAACTAATCCTTGTTTAACTTTCCTTTTCTCATTCAAGTATCTAAAAAATGTTTTGTCCCCTTTTTTTTACTGACTGTGCTATTTTCTCTTCTGTGTGAGATTTGGAAGCTCTTATAACTTGCTTAGCCTCTTTCTGCCTAATCTTATAGAGCGTTCTGTCTTCCTCACTCTGTTTTTTTTTTTATAATTACTAAATGCTAACTTTTAGTTTTTTTACCATTTTGGCCACATCTGCGGAGTACCACAGTGGTTTCTTGAATTTTTTTGCTTTTACTGACAAGCCTAATGCAATTTTCTGTTGCCTTCAGCAGTGAAACTTTTAAATAATCCCATTTCTCTTGGAGTAATGTACTTGATAAAGCTCCCCCTATTCTTATATAGTATTTTTACATACAGACTGATGCACCCACAATGTTTATATATCTAAAATATATTTTAAAAAAATCCTAATAAAGCTATATGTCATAGATACAATAAATACAC